CGCACCCGCTGCCAGAGCTGGCACTGCCTGCACATACGGGCCATGCACCGGCTGCGGCTTAGCCCGCCTTTGCTCAAGTCCCAGTTTCAAAATGAGAAGGGAACAAGACGGTGCTGAGCAGGGGAAGAGCCTGGGCCAGGGAAGCGGGATTCGCAATGGGACCCCAGCAGGGCGCAGGGGTACCTGCACCTCTGACACGTGCCTGGGCTGGGTGAGCTGCAGAGACTCCCACCTTAAAAGCGAAGCGCTTGCCCAACCTCACTCCGAGGCGTAGGAAGGGTGCCTGGCCTGGCTGCGGCACTCGGGCACATCGGAGCCTCCACGCAGGCTGGACGTTAACTGCCGGTGAGCTGAGACACAGCCCCAGGCTGGCACAGCCACGGGGTCCCGCAGCCAGGCCAGGAGTCTCCTGGACTGTCCCACCAGCATGGCCCTGCGGTGACGCCCAGACTATGGCCTGAAGCACACCAGTGAGCAGCTGGGGGAGCTTTTCTTCAGCAAGGAAAAGCTGTTGCGATCGGTGCGCAGAGCTCATCCCTAAAGATCCTGCAAGAGTCCAGCCCTGGTGCCAGGGGAGGGTGCATGCTGGGGAGGAGAAGGGCTCTGGACTAGACTCCGCAGGGTTCTGGCTGCAGCAGCGGCTCTAGACCCCCAGCTCCCCTCCCCTGCTACGTTCCAACTTGGACAAAGACAGAGATATCTATACAGTATAATATATATATTTCACTATGAAATAGCAATTTCATTCCCTGCCTTCTACTTGATGCATCCTGAATTAAATGCTTCTTTTTAAGTCACTCCAGAGGTCTGGCAGGGCTGGGTAGTTTCTCATGCGAGACAGTTACCCTCCCTGGAAGCTACCTGCAGGAAGCACCAGAAGCTGACCTGGGAGGACCCAGACACGATCCTTGCCCCCCGCTTCCCCTCACCCAGCTCCCATCTTCCCCTGCAACAAGGGCACAACTGTATATTCTGCCAGCAGTGGCCTGCCAGGGCGCTTACGGCTCATTTACATGGTTGGTCAGCACAGTCATTAACCTCATTCATGCTGCTTTCAGTAGCCATGGTGTAGAAGCAGCAACTGAACCCCTCTACATCACGTACACGAATAGGAGCAAACCAGAGGCAAGGGAAGTGGCGGGGACAGTGCAACATGCACACAGACCGGTGACGCAAAGGGCCCTCGGCTACGGCACAGCCAGATGCCTCGCACAGCAGCCAGGCCTGCCTAGGCAGCGCTCACGGGCTCCAGGCCACGGGGGTAAGTCAGGGCTGCAGCCCGTCAAGTGTGAAGTCTGCCAAATCTCGGTCAACCTGTGGAACAGGGAGTCCCGTCCAGGGGCTGGGTCACTGACGAAGAGCCGTCATCACTGGAATCGGTGCGGAGCCGGGTTCAGGAGATGAAAGGAGGAACAATCCTATGGAAGGACGAAGAGAGCAGCTGTGTTAGGAAAACCAGGTGTTACGAGTCTCTTCAAGCGTAGTGGGGAGCCGCTGTCCTGAAGACCTTGTTGTCAGAGGCCTGCAATGCAACCGGCAGCAAACAGGCTCTCAGTTACTGCATGGGGACACTGAGCTGGGGAAAGAGCGAGGGCTCAGCCACTCTGGGTCTTGCAAGCTGGTCTAAAAAAGTTGGGAAAAGGAGAGAGACAGCAGGGACAGGTTCAATCTGCTGTCAGGCTCTGGGCTCAAGTAAACAAGCTCAGAGTTCAAATTCCCTTCAAATGAAACCAATAGGAGTTTGGCCACCAGCTGGAGACCGGAGCACAACGATGCCCCAGACACAAGGCAACTTGCCCAGCAGCAGAGCTGCAGCTTCGGCAGCCCTCGCTCGAGCACGCTCTCAGCTGCCCCGAGGCAGCAGCTGTGGGGCATCGCCACCATGTCACTGCCGGCCTCGGCAGCGAAGGGAGCTTTCCCCCAGGTACCTACCTTTGCTTTTTGTACATCTTCTGATCCAGTCACATCGTCCGGCTATATTCAATGCCACTCTTGGCAGAAATGCCAGACCAGGGCAGAAGGCTGCAGAGAAGGCTCTGGGCTTGTCGGTATATCCTCTGGGGAATTGAACACGGGCTCAGGCTGGCTAGCGTTGATCCAATGTGCTGTAGGTAGTCAGTGGCCATTAGTTAAGGACAACGACATTTACACTGTAACTTAAGAAATAACTTAAAATACCCTGTGGACTAGCACTCCCTAAAGAGATCCCATGACACAGCAAAAGCTGCTCTGCTCAGTTAGACAGGCAGATCTGCTCCTTGTATTAATTGCTTGCTCCTTTCTATCAAAAGCAGGTCTGCTTTGCACCATAAAGAAGTCAATTTGGGAACACTGGCTCCGACTTGTGTGGGAAATAAATACCTCCTCTAAGCAGCTGCTAGTTCCCTTTGCACTCCACAGCAAGTTCCTGTGGGGACAGCAATCTACCTGCCTGGAGAGATTTGGACTGACTAGCTACACCTGGGAAATATCAGGTTTCCTCTCCATGATCCAACGACATGAAATAAACTCCCAAAGTCAGTCTGAGTGCAGCCTGCTGAGATCCAGGCCAGGCCAGGCCAGGGTCACAGGGGATCCTCAGCCACAGGAAACAAGACCAAGGGCTTCTCTGCCATGCTGCTGGACAAATCCTGCACCACACAAGCCAGAGCACGCCTAGCACTCTGGCTTAACACCAGCATTCGCTATCACTGGCATCAAACTCGCTCCAACTTGGAATTCAATGTACCATCCTACACTGCCTCCCTGAACTGTTCCCAGAGGAGTCGGGAGAGCTTGGGCACAAGCAGGTCACTGTCAAATCCCTCTAACATCACCTTCCTTCCAGCTTCAGATTAAACTCGCATCTGAGCAGGCATCAGTCCCCAGGTTTAGCCAGGTCACGCTTTGCTAGATTGCCATTTTTAACTTAAAACATAGTGTGGTGTCTGCTTATGGTGTTCCACTACTAATCAGACTGAAGGTAAAGGATATAAGATTGTCCAGGGTGGGTGTCCGCCATTGATGTACAGGACATAGGTAAAGCCATCTTTGAGGACCCCTCTGATGGAATAATAATAGGGAAGATAGTGGTGCTGTTTAAAGTCTCTGTTTTCATAGAAGTTTATTGCTGTGTTGTTAGTGGTGAGGACGTGCAGGTAGATGGCTTTGCAGTGATCTTGGGCAGTCGTCGATATATGGTCTTTTAAACTTTCAAGCAAGAGCGAGCCTGTTGAAGGAAAGAGCAGCAGAATCACACAGTGCAGCTGCCTTCTCAGGGACAGCACAAGCGGTTTGTAGGTCCCAGCTGAGATCTCCTGCACCCAGCGTCTAAGCAGTGATTGCTGCACACACTTGAAGACCCCACATCCCACCCAGTTCTCAAAGACCCTCTTGATGAATTTAACAGGACCACACTACATGTTTTAATATGAATCTCATCTCACCTATGGGCATGGCTTCACAAAACAGATTTTATAAAGACACAAACTTCTGATTCAATAACCACAAAGATGAGCCAGACATGGGAATCTGCCAGTAATGCCCATCCCCAGCCAAGCAGCTCTCAGCTTTGGGGAAGGTCAGTGAGTCATTTTCAATGGTATCAGTTCCATCACACACATTTATTTTAAAGGCGTTTAAAACAGCAGAGAGTCAAAACAAGATTTCACAAGCAGGTTATTGCATTGCATCTGCTGAACTCGAATAAAAATCTAAGAACTGGAAGGATATTAAGATCCCTTCTTAGGAGGAGAGCCAAAGCATAGTCTCACTCAACCTGGATTTTCTGCAGCCACTAGTCAGCAGGAGAAAGCAGAGAAGGGCACAGAGAATATGCTAGCCCCAAGAGACGAGACCTGGAGGTTCATCCAAACCACCTCAGCACAGCATGAAGGACCCAGCAGAACCTGCAGGGGAACTTCTTCCATCAGGTGTGGTAACAACAGGCTAAAGAAACAGCTTAGCTAATAGAAACACACAGATGAGATTTACGCTGCTGTTTCACAGTCCCCAGGCCATTTCATGGTCACTTGATACTTAGTAGGAATTTATATTAGCCAAGCACAAAAAGACACGGAGAGACATCAACAGGAGAGCAGTTTCATTTTGTTTTAAGATATTCCACTCTTCTATCTCACAGAAATCCACCTGCCCTCTGGTTTAGGAATAGCAGAGAACTAGAAACCAAAGCCTTTTAATGTCTGCCAGAGAAAAATCAGAGCTTTAGTGCTTAAAAGCGTGCCTGGGGTGAAAAGCCTCCTGCATGAAAGACTTCAGCTTCAAACACAAGTAGAAAAACTCTCAGGAGAAAGGTCTCAGAAAAAGCAGCAGCAGGCAGCAGCTTCTTTAGGTTGTTTTGCTATAGGTACAAGTCCAAAGGTTTTGAGAGAGCATGGCAACATGCTGTCTAGATGTGATGGATACAGGAAATACTGATACTGAAAGGAGAAAATTCCAGCAAGATGGAGCTGGAAAAAAAAAATAGGATTTGAAAACTGAAAGGGGACTCAAAACAGCCACAACTTTACAGAACAGAGGACCCCTTTACCACCTTCTCTGAACATTATTCTGTGCAAGTATTTTCTTCTTTGTACAGAAAATTTATCTCCGGTAGCATTTCAATGCAAGTTTTAAATACATTGCTCCCACTGAGGACTCTTCTGGTCATTTCTTTATGTATCCTATCAGTTTGTACCCTTCTAAACATGACTGGGGGAGAAGGGAGGACTCAAGGAAGAGAAGTTATACCTGTATCCACTGAAGAGACTCCAGATGTGCAACACTGGGTCATGCTGCCAAACCTGGCCTATTTCCTTTTGCAGATCAAAGATATAGATCATGCTTGAAATTGCACCAGAAGGGCACTTATTCGATGACAAACACATCCTGATCTGAATGGAGATAAGCCCTTCTGACTGCAGGATTTTCAAATGGTTGCAAAAATGCTGCGTGTTGCAGCAGGCATTCAGAGCTGACTTTTACATGCATTTCACAGATTTAATCAGGTCCAAATTACACTCTTTTTCCAGTTCCCTTTGTCTTTTTCTAAATGTTTGTTCTATCTATTGAAGTTGAAAGGTTAAAAGCAGCTATATTTTCTGCCTCAGGGACCAGGCTTCTAATACCCATGAAAGAAAATTGCTTCAAACCCTGCTCCAGGGTGAAGTCCTAGCGCTTCCGTCAGCCTCAGCAGCAGGACTGCAAGTTTTTGGTGTGCTCAGCTGTCCCCTGGGAACAAGACAGACAAAGCCCTGTGCTCTTTGGAAACATTTGCACATTGTAGTGTGCCTACACCAGTAAAAACATCTCAGTGCACCTGGATTAACACCAAGAAGGGATGCGAGTGCCTCACCTTCTCAATTGCTGGTACAAATCACCAACAGTTTGTCTCAAAAGGGGATTGTGGTGAAATGGTGCCGCTCCTTCAGTCACGCCCATTAGCTACATGTGGCAAATGACAGCAACAGAGTTGTCACTTAGCAGCATCTTACCTATTCCATGTTTTCTGAACTCCTTCACCACTCCAAGACTTAGGATGTAAGCAACTTGAGTGTCCACAGGAAAATTGGAAGCTAAGATGTCTCCATCCTGAGTAGAGATATAACAAGTTATTTAGTAGGCTACCTGGGGAGGCACAGGAGAAGGCAGGAATCCCGTGCTGGAACATCTGAAAGTAAGGCTATAGCAGGAAACTTCTCTTCACTGAACAGTCCTAGCTGAAGCTTCTGGAAAGGAGGTGAGGAGTTAAAAAAAACCAAGCATGGTCCCTTAGGGGTTATTCCTACTTTCATATCATCTTCCCAGACGCAGAACACAAATCATGATTTTTCATTACTATATACATTACTTGTGGGCTTAGGGACAGAATATATTTGCATTCTTTATCAGGAATGATTCAAAGTGCCAATTCTGGAGTTACACATCAGTGTCTAGATCAATCCAGAAACAGTCTTTATTGCCTGCACACTCCATCTGAGCTTCGTGTCAGCCGGAGATCTCTGTACTGCTGTAGAGGACAAGGAGCATGTTCTACAGGCTCAGTCGCCTGGAGCAGTGTCTGAATAAGCCCCTGGCTTTCAGCTTGGCTGGAACAAGAGCCTTTTGATAGAGTTGCTGAAGATGCAGTTTCTGACTTTGACTAGCTCTGAGGTGAAGCCAGATAGCTAGAGTGAAGAGACCCATGCCACTCAATGCTCTCAGTTCCTAGAATGTTAAGATTATTGTTTAATCATAACACTGATGGCCTCTTAGAAGTTATATGCTCTCTGCATTGCCCCTGCTTTTTTTTTTTAATCCTCACTAACCCCGTAGTCTTTTCCTATACTGTCTTCAGTGACCATCTCTTTTTCACCTCTCTGCTGTAATGTGTTGTCTCTCCTGGCCTCCAAGCCCTGTTATCACTGAAGCCTGAGCTTTCTGCAGATTGGTTACCTCTGCTTCGTGTTCGAGACAGTGACCATGTAAATGAAGCAGTTTCTGCAGGAAGTCAGAGGAGTGACTCGCCCAGCACAGCTAAGGAAGTTCAACCCTTACGTAAGAAAGGAAGAGGTTCGTTCTCCCACAGCTGCGCATACCTCAGTCACCAGCGACGACCAGGCACACTGAAAACAGCCAGGCAACAATTAAATGGCTGGCTACACATTCACTTTTGGATTATGCTTGCATGATCTGATCTCTCCGCACAGCACGTCAGGCAGCAAGCTTCCCATCGGGCCATGGCTGCCTAGCCCCAGCAGGAAGAGACTTTGTGGTACCAGGCTGCTCAGCAGCCCACGTGTTCAGATACATCCCACCACCCATGCTCCATTAGCTGGAAATGGGTGCGTTCTTGGTTTCTTAAATTAACTCAGGATGACTCTTATAAGGGTCTGGATGGAGCGAGGAAAAAGATACCCCAAACAGGTTCTATCACAGTTAACCATGGCAAGAGGTGGACTATCTCATACTGAAGCATAGTTTAGTAGCATACCTCTTTATGCACCTTTGTTCTGCTCTTGATCTCTGCCACTATCATTCCCACGATGGAGCCTCTATATGTGGCTGCGAGGGAAAAGAACTTCTTGTTGGAAGTGATATCTCGGTACCATGAGTCAGGGTACCTGGGAAGGAAGGAAGGAAAAACAGGAACGTTTGGGGACACAAAGCCCATGGCAGCAGGCAGCGCCACAGCAAATACTGTGTCGAGATGTTGCTCAACTGGAAATGGGCAGCAACATCTTTAAATGCCAGTCACTGGAACTGCAGGCCAACGTATTTTACACAAGACTAAGGGAGGGAAGCTGTACTACTGAAAGGGCTGTCTTCTGCAAAGACATACAGCCAAGTAGCTCAGCCATATGTCAATCTAAAGCTCTTTCTATGCTACTCATTTAGCTTATTCCACAAGATCTGGGTTAGGAAGTTATTCACTTTTCCTGTCTTAACTGTTGTACGGTACCAACGAACATCAAACAGCTGCTGTACCCCATTTGGTAGCATGGTTTCTTTCAATTGTATCTAAGCAGCAATGCAGGCTGCTCATGTAATGGCCTCCTGCCTTGCTAAGACAACCGTATTTTCATTTTACATTCATTGCCCAGAGCTTTCACTTCCATCTTTAGCAAGTTATTTTTAAATGCAAGATCCATCTGCCCTCATCTAAGAGCGTAAGGATCTCATTAATTTGATACACATTTGAAAAAAATACTGCATATTGGTACAAAAAAATCACATCACCAGCCTCCAGCTCTCCTCCTCCTTCTGCAGCTACTAAAGGGAAACTAGCATACATTATTTATTTCAAAATGAGAGTTCAGCACGCCTTGTTGTGCTGGTTTTGGCTGGGATAGAGTTAATTTTCTTCACAGTAATTAGTATGGGCTATATTTTGGATTTGTGCTGAAAACAGCGTAGGTAATACAGAGATGTTTTAGTTCTGCTGAGCAGTGCTCACACAGAGTCAAGGCCTTTGCTGCTCCTCACCCCACCCCACCAGCGAGGAGGCTGGGGGTGCACAAGGAGTTGGGAGGGGACATGGCTGGGACAGCTGACCCCAACTGACCAAAGGGATATCCCATACCATATGACGTCATGCTTAGCATATAAGACTGGGGGAAGAAGAAGGAGGGGGGGACGTTCGGAGTGATGGCGTTTGTCTTCCCAAGTAACCGTTACGTGTGATGGAGCCCTGCTTTCCCGGAGATGGCTGAACACCTGCCTGCTGATGGGAAGTAGTGAACGAATTCCTTGTTTTGCTCTGCTTGCGTGCGTGGCTTTTGCTTTACCTGTCTTTATATCAACCCACAAATTTTCTCACTTTTACTCTTCTGATTCTCTCCCCCATCCCACCGGGGGGGGATCCCACCGGGGGGGAATAAGCGAGCAGCTGGGTGGGGCTGAGTTGCTGGTTAAACAGGACACTTGTCTTTAAAAGAAATCTACAAATTCAAAATATTATGAGTGCTTTTGATGGTTTGTTACATTTTATGCAATCTTAATTACAATCCGCTAAAATCCTCTATAAACCTTCTCAACAAAGCTAACGAAAAAAATCCTTGAAGTCTACCGCTGTAGTTTCCCTGGATGCTTTAAGCCAGAAAGCTATCACTGTCTGGCTCCTTATTCCTGTGCTTGTGCAGACACAACCATTTACCAAATGGGGGCTTGGGGAACTGACCTGGGACAGACTGAGATCAGCTTTAAGCCAGATCTTTGCCAGAGCTTTGGGAGCAACAGTGATCCTGAGTACACAGGCAAGCACTGTTCAGTGTCCCCTGGGACATTAAGAAAGACAGTCCCTTAGGAACAGTTGCTCCGTGTTGGTTTGGTTCAGCTCTGAGGGTATTTTCTCGGCACATGCTCCAGAACACAACTTTCCTTCACAAGCACAGGGATGTTGTCCTTTCTCCTGGAGGTGTGCTCCTTTCCCCATCTCATAGGCAGTCTTTCCCACGAAACTGATCCACCCCCTTAACTACAAAGCCCATTTTTCTGCCAAAATCTGCATACAGGAACTTTCTGATGACTTTAGGACCCTGCAGGACAGACAGCAAAGGGCCATTAACAGGAACACCACCACAGTGCATAACAGATTCAGAACCTGCTGCTATCTTAGCAACAGTCCAGATGGCTGCAGAGCCTTTGGTGGCAGCTCTGAACTGGACCAGTGCAGGTTCACACCATTTGTTTCTAGACCCCCTCCATCTCACACCCCAAACCAGTAACATACTCTATTGGGAACCAGTCGCCACAGAGCTGTTTCACTGTGTCTATGTCATCGTGGCAGAGAAGACGCAGGTTTACGTCCGTAAGTGCAGTCGGGGGCACCTCCTCTGTCATTCACGCCTGCAAGAAAAGAAAGCACATTAAGAACGATGAAGCACAGATTCTGATTCTCAGCTTCAGTCAGGCATCTGCGCAAAGGCAGCAGGAGGTTCTCAGTATCAATAAAGTTGTTTTTCCTAGCAGAACGAGTTTTTAAAGAGAGATGAAGCAAAACATAGCAACATTAACCCGAGAAGCAACTCGAAATCCTGTTGCCCACAGGGTAAGCACAGCTCCCTTCTCAGCCTGACCCACCCCACCAGCCCTGCATCTGCCCAGCACCCCGCTCCCTGTGAGCACAGTCCAGTGATGCTGCGTGTGAAGGAGCATGTGGCACCAACCGCTTCCAAAAAGAGCTCAGGATGCTGCATTAAATAAGCCAACAATGTGTCAAGCGTACGAACCAACAGCTTAAAAAGGAAGCACCACTAGAAGAACATTTATAAAGTCCTCTTCACAATCCCGTCATCTCCAGTTAGTACATATGCAGAGGATTCAAATTCTATAACATGTTAATTTTCTTTAACTTATGCTGGCAAAATGAGATCTAGTTTCATTTCCCCTCATTCCTACATGCTACGACTCCACGAGGGCTGGCTTTCCAGCCCAGCAGAGAGCGTTCAAATACAGAAATCCCAAGACACCCTTTTCTTTCACCATAGCACTACCACAATCGGGCTAACCACATATAGGACACTTTACTCCAATGCCTTCAGCCTACACGGTACCAGAGGGAAAGAAGCAAGCAATAACTAAAGTGCTTGTAAAAGCATTTGTAGTACAGACGCATGAATAAAGAACAGATCTTGCGAACAGGCTTTAGGAAGGACAAAGCCCCACGCGAGACGCTGCGCACACAGAGCAAACACGGCAGGCAGACAGGGCAGCTGCAGGAGTCGGTGCCCTTTCACAGGCCACCTGCAGTTCTCCATCCACAGCTTTGTCTCTCTCACTCCAGCCCTCCTAGTCCCAGGTCAAAGAACCAGACCAGGATGCAAAGGAAAAAAAAACCCACCACCCTTAATTTAAAAAGTCGTTTTGTTTTCACTTTCTTTACCCAATTTTGAGAGTCTCAAATTTTGGTTTCAAAATGCCGAGTTACAAGGAAAAAGCTGCACGCAGCGGCGCTTGGGTACGCCCTCCTGTTGAAAGGGGTGCTCAGCTCTCCAGTGCTCTCACTTTGAAGCGCAGAGACTCGAGAAGGAACAGATTTAAACATACTCCCCACTGGACTAGATATGCCATTTGAGCAGTTTCAACGCAAAAATCACATCACCTCCGTAATACACTCTGTAACTGGCAAAGTCGCACAAAAGGAGTAGGCACAGCAACGATCCCAGTTTGACATGTTTGACAGCACCCAACTGTGTGCCAATTGCTCTCCTAAGAATTTGGAAACACCTCCTTCCACTGTACTCCTAAGGAAAAAACAGGCTAAGCCATAAAATCCACATTCCAAATTTCTCTTTTAAGGTACATAAGCCAGCTTTCTTCTGCAATTCCCCTGGATGAACTGGTAGAGTGCAACTCCCAGTTAGCACAACATGATGATAGCCAGAGAGCAGAGAGTCCCCAGATGCTGAGGTCCTTGGAACTCAACATCAGTGCTGAGAGGTAATTAGCACTGCTAATGAGAACAACGTTCACCCTTGATTTTGGCACTCTCCCTGCCACACGTTGTATGACTCCTTTGCACTGGCTAGAGCAGTGTCATCTCCCACCCCTCTGTCCTCCCAGACACTGCATCGGCTCGGACCTCCTAGGGAGGAAGGAGGAACTCCACCACTGGTTTGTGTGCAGCCTGGAACACATCAAACAGCCAACATATCAACAGGAGAAAGGATACAATTAAGGTCCACTATTATCCAGAGAAATCTTTGGTAGCCTTTCTCCCATGCAGAGAGAAAGAATGGCATAAAGCTTTAGTAGAGCAGAGGTCCAAGGAAGTTCTCCTACAGCTCTTGAGAAAGATGAAATGGGGTGGGTTTCTTCAAGCAAGGGATCCTTCCCAGACACAGCTTTCCTTTCCTCCCAGTGACTGGTCCTACATCTTTCCCTGAGAAGGGCATCCGAGGGGATCCATACATTGATATGGATTGCTTGTTCTTCTCCAAAGAAGTCCTTAAAAAGAATCACAGCTATTTCACAGCCTGTTCTAGGACTGTGGCTGCATATTTACCGAGCAACCTACAGCTTTCACAATCAGTCCAGATGCTAGTTTCAAAACAACTTAAGCACCTAGAAAACCCACAAAACCAGTACTCCTTGCTGCTTTTAAAACTAATTTTACACTCCTAGAATTGGCTCAAGCCCTCTGAGGCTAGACTTTGAACCTGTACCCTCTTGTGGCAGCGAGCACGCTCTCCACCACCAGCCCCTGGTGACCTTTTAACATGCCTCAGCTTTACCCATGGGGCCCTGAAGGAAGGGCACGTTCACTTGCTGCGGCTGATCTGATCCACACCGTTGCTGGGTGAGGTAGCTGATGCACAGCAGCGCGGACCCCAGTCCCACCCTCCCACCCACGCACTCCTCCCACCCTTGCCAGACCCTTTGCTTACCCATTGCAGAGTGGTGACCTACCAGAAGATCACGAAGCGAGGGCAAAACAATTGTTTGTAGGCCAGAACTGCTTGGCAAAAGCTCAGGTAGCGTAAGACAGGCTTCCCAGGCGGAAAAAGAGGAGGGAGGAGTGAGCAGGTACAAAATCATAGAATCGTAGAATCACTAAGGTTGGAAAAGACCTCTAAGATCATCAAGTCCAACTGTCAACCCAACACCACCATGCCCACTAAACCATGTCCCTAAGCGCCTCATCTACACGTCTTTTAAATATCTTCAGGGATGGTGACTCAACCACTTCCCTGGGCAGCCTGTTCCAAGGCCTGACCACTCCTTCAGTAAAGAAATTTTTCCTAATGTCCAGTCTAAACCTCCCCTGGTGCAACTTGAGGCCATTTCCTCTCGTCCTATCGCTTGTTACTTGGGAGAAGAGACCGACCCCCACCTCGCTACAACCTCCTTTCAGGTAGTTGTAGAGCGCGATGAGGTCTCCCCTCAGCCTCCTCCAGGCTAAACAGCCCCAGTTCCCTCAGCCGCTCCTCATCAGACTTGTGCTCCAGGCCCTTCACCAGCTTCGTTGCCCTTCTCTGGACACGCTCCAGCACCTCAATGTCCTTCTTGTAGTGAGGGGCCCAAAACTGAACACAGGATTCGAGGTGCGGCCTCACCAGGGCCGAGTACAGGGGCACGATCACCTCCCTGCTCCTGCTGGCCACCATATTGCTGATACGGGCCAGGATGCCGTTGGCCTTCTTGGCCACCTGGGCACACTGCCGGCTCATGTTCAGCCGGCTGTCAACCAGCACCCCCAGGTCCTTTTCCTCTGGGCAGCTTTCCAGCCACTCTGCCCCAAGCCTGTAGCGCTGCATGGGGTTGTTGTGGCCGAAGTAGCATAAGACAGGCTTCCCGGGGGGGAAAAAGAGGAGGGAGGAGTGAGCACGCACATACAGCCAGAGCTGCTTTGGCCATGGCGAAGCTCCAAGCCCCGCTACATCACTTCGTAAGTGGGCATTAAGCGGCACTCAGGTTTGCAACAGCAGTGCTCTTGCTGAAACATTTTATTATATTCTTGAGAAGTTTCGATGCTCCTGTAAGGCAACACCCCTTCTCAGCCAATACTCTCAGCATTAATAAATCAGAGATAAATGAAACAACCATGACAGAGCTGTATTTTTGCTAATGAGTAGAAAAGGCAGGGGCCTAGGAGCAGACTTAGCCAGCAGCTGCTGTAGGAGAGGCAGAGCAAGCACAGGACGCATTCTTGCGAGGATTAGTTCATGTTTATTTAACACTATATTCCCAAAGAGCTAGGCAAGCATTATGCATTATCCTGTAGCTGAAGCCAGCCTTAAAAAAATAATCCATGACTGTTTTGTTGAACAGGATAATTCCCCTCCCCGCAAATTCAGACAGCCGTTTCCCAGCACCCGTTGTGTTTGCAGGGACTCTCTCCATCCGCTTTGCATTATGTGACCAAATCTGATGCTCTTGCACATTTAAAGGAAATTTAGGACACCCGCCTGGCACTGTGTCCTGCCACAAGGTTTTAGGAGAGCAGACCTGCACTCCTCCCTGGCCAGGTGTTGCTGCTGCCGGAGGAGCTGCGGTCAGTGGCTGCTATGACCAAGAGAGAAGAAATCCCAGGCAAGTCAATTCTCTTCATACCCAAGTGACAGCCTCTGACTCTTCACAGATATCTGGGCGAACACCCAAGACCCGGGCCCTGGCCCTCTGCACAGCCTGTAGCATACTGCAATTACCAGAGCCAGAGTCCTGAACAAAAGCCTCAGCTAGCACAGTGACGAAGGCATCACTTTTAGAGTCAACTTGGTTTTAGAGGACAAAAGATATGTTTGGAAGCATAAAGAAATAATTAAAAAAAAACCAGTATCAGTGTTAAATACAACCCTAGGGCTCAACGGAAGTTAAATGGGCCTTTAGGGGTTTAGAAGTAGCATAGCTCCACTCACCACTGCAACACTGACAACACCAACTTCTGACCTTTCAGACCAAGTGGTGGTTGCTGTGAAGTAAAACGTAGGCTCCAGCCACGAGCAGTTAACTGAAGGAGGTCCAGAGCCATTCTTGAAAACCCGCAGTGAAGTTACCTTATTTAATATCTATTTCTCAGGTGTCGGTCTTTGTTCATGTGATGGCCGCTGTCTGGGAAGCAGCATGGTTAACATCATCCACGGCCCCTCCACCCAGTGGGGCACAGCAACCTCACCCTTTTGTTAAAATGGGACACACTCGCTTACGATAATTATAAAATGAGCCAACACTTTTGCTTATGAAGGGATCATGCAGTTAAACATTTGAAAAAGCTCTGAGGACACCCCTTTCCAAAATACCAAAGTTAGCAGTGAGTAGAACTAGAAACTGAGCCCTTTCCTACTTAAAAACTGCAGGTATTAACACACCACAAATTAATTTAAAAAAAAAACACAGGAAAGTATAAAGGT